CCTCCTAAGCTGTAGACAACACTCTCAAACACCTTTTTGATATAAGACCACTGTGACATCTGCCGTAAAAGAAACAAAAATATATATATATAGTTTTTTACTTAAACTATTGGTATATACAATTTCATAAATGTGTGTGTATATAAACACACACACACACACACACACCTGTAAAATGTCGACAAAACAACAATACATTTTCACACCTAATTTTTTAAAGCTGTAAAAAATCTTTATAATGTTCAATTTCACTTTCCAATACCAGTGAGTGAAACCAGTAATTAACAGAATTCTATCAAGAAGTAATCCAAGATCAAGTCCAGTCACATTTGGACATGCTGAATTTAGTCTGAAAACGTTCACTGGAGAAGGAGTTTTTTTTCCAGAGGTATGCATGTTTCAATAACTTGTATGTAAAAAAACAGGACCACAGTGAAAGCAGACCACAGACCCAATTAGGCCACTCTTGACATTTTAATAAATATAGAAACCTAACCTATTTCAATATATTTTACATAAAAAAACAGCTATTACAAGCTTACAAAAACCACAAACCTTCAATACATACCAAACTATTAGGCAAACTATTTCACAATATTTAGGATTTTAAAAATCAAACAGGTGAACCTCACACATTCATTTTTGTTAGATCAATAGATGGTGAGCAGGTGCATGAGAACTGACGAGTTGTTAATGTTATTCCTGTCTTTAAGTGTGTGTGGGGTGGGGGGTTGATAAGAATTGCTGTGGAAATTGTAGGCTCATTAGTCTACCTTCTGTGATGAAAAATTTTCCAGAGGGTTTGATCAAAAAAAGCTTTAACAATCATTGAAATATAATAATAAAAATCCAACATGAATCCACTAAAAGAAAATCTTGTTTTATTAATCTGGTAGTTTAGTTTCTGAGGATATTACCTGTCATATGGATGATATCAAGGGTATAGATTTGATGTACTTATGTTTTCATGATAAGACGTCATGCCACACTGAAGAATATCACATCTCACATTGTATGGTTACTGGGTGAAAGAAAGCAAAAATTATTAATAAAGTCAAGTGAAACTTGACCTTTGTTATAATTAGTACTAGTTTGCTTCAGAGGTCAGTGCTTGGCCCTTTATTTTTTTTCTTCTTGATATTGATAGTACAAAACTAGTAAACTGTCTCGATGAAATTAAAATGTTGTGTATTTCTAATTGTATTTAGGATGCTGGAGTAATAAAGAATGACTTAGATTACTTGGTAAGTTGAACAAAAGGTTTTTAATTATATGACATGCACGGTAATGCACCTGTGTTATAATCTGGTGATAAGCCACTCGCTAACAATTGAGGTCCCGAGCTGTTTAAACCTTTAAAATGAACACAGACAATACATTTTGATTAATAAATCATTGGTGTAAATGACATTTAAAATTCATAACAAACAAGTTTACAGAACTATTAAATTAAGTATGGTGCAACCTGGCTTTGTGTGATGTTGTTATGTTTTGTACTAAAAGCCATATTCTTCTTTGTTTAGCAGATTTTGCTGAGGTTTCTATGTAACATAACTTTTAGTAGCATTCGAAAGTTTTTGCAAGGATTGAATTTTTTTTTTTCTATGTTCAGATTTCTTTTTCTAATAATTAGATTTTGTTGAGCTATAACCTAAGTTTTATTAGCTTTATTTCTGTTAATCTTACAGGGGTAGGTGGGTGGCAAGTAATGGACTGGTGACAGAGAGATAGCTCAGAAAAGTTTTGCTTCCCTTTTCTCTCACTCATTAGTACAACACACACACACCATAAAGACACTTGCCCTTACCCGTTTTATCATAGTAACTGTGATTGTATTTCTAAATTTTAAGCAAAGATTACTCTTCTACATCTTCTAGGAATCAATTGTTTCTTCTTAACAAACTCACAAATCAGATAAACATATATATACACACACACACACTTCATAACTTGGAATCCTTTGAACCTTCATTTAGTGGGCTCTAACTGAAAACACTGAGGAAAAGTTGAAAATACAACAACTACTTCTGAACAAATAACAACAAAATTGACAGGTGCATACATATGCCAAAACTGAGACACAATTTGTTATTGATTACTTATGAAACTACATGAAAGTTCTCAATACAAAACTAAATAAGTTGGGGCAGGCTTTTTAAAATGTTTTTCATTTCCTCAATTGTCTTTAAACTGTATTCACTAACCAAACAGAAATTATATTGCATACTGAATTTTACTAAAGATGATAATACTTATAATATTAAAGGTGTAGTAATTAATGTTTTTAACTAATTTTTCTTTCTCTTTACTAAACTCAGCATGGATTTGATTATAGGTATGAAAATAATTTAGTTATGAATTAGGGCTTAATAAATGCACAGTTTAGTTTAAAACATTGTGGTTGTAAAAATAGAACAGAACAAGTGGATATCAGAGTAGTACACTACAATTTCCAAAATGGACACCATGGTACAGTGAGTGGGTGAGGCCCACTGGGCATTCAGTCTTCCATTATGTGATCTAGTTTTATTTTTTCATGCAAAAAATAATTCAATTATCCTTAAAGTTTTAACAAATAAAAATACAAAATGGAAATACATGGCTTTAAATAATGAATCAAAATCACTTGCTGAAATATTTTCCTTTCTGGAATTAAAAATAAGCTGTAGGTAAAATGTAACAAACCAATAAAGACTACTTTTCACTCAACACAGCAGCTAGTGTAACCTTATAACTGATTAATTGCCAGGCTAATTAATCCATTACATTCAACTAAGCAATTATTCTCATATGAGACTTGAAGAGTTGGAATAATGGAAAATAATAATAATAATAATTAGAAATACTAATTTCAATTAGAATGAGTTAGTTGAATATTTTTGTAAGTTGAAACACTAACTGTTTTAGCTGAACAACCCTGAATTAATTGAAAATAATTATGAGAAATCATAATGGCAATATTTTGATTACTTGGAGAATTGGATAATCTAAAGTAGTAATAATCAGAAAGACTAATTACAAATGGTTATTATATGTAGCAGTAATCAATGTAATTCCCCAACTATAATGACGACAATGTAATTCTGTTTTCATTGTGCTTTGCTCACTTAATAACAAACTTATTAACTCCATGCTTATATAAATAACCCTCTATGACCTTGCTCTTTAATATAATGGCAATTGGTAATATTATAAACTAATATCCAATAAAAAAACTTCTGATGAAAAGTGTGGTGACTATATGTAATTAAAAGTTGAAAATAATAAACTAATGAAGACAATCATGTATAACAAACTGACTAGAACTTCTTATACGAACTTAATATGTGAATCAATACATACAAACCTATAATACGTAGGACTAGAATGCACAGAATTAGCAACTAGGTACTCATTATAAATATGATATTTTGCAACATCTTTGTCAAAAAATCCTGAACATTTCAGTCGATTAGATCTGCTATGTAACTGATATGGATGAACATGAAAATGCTCTTTTAGTTAAAGGTAAAGCCTAAAAATTATGATGCCCGACGTTTTGTACAATTACACATTTTTAACTTACTTAGTGTTAGGGTGGCCCTAAAATTAATTACGTAAAAAAATAAATGTTGCATCTAAGTTACTAAAAATTACAATGCAAATTTAACTTAATCTGAAAACATTTGAATTTTGATATTCTTACTTAAACAATAAAAGGAGAAGCACCAGAGGGTAATCTAATTGACGTGTTTAAGAATAATCATTGATAGTGTTGATGCATCATCTTTTTTCCTGCTTAATAGTAAGAATGGTAGGACTAGCGGACACAAAATGTGAAAAATATAAATATTTACAGGGTAGGAGTCATCTTCAATTAAGATAGTTTTATTTTTCCAATGAGGTGTTGGTTTTTAGAATGAGTTATTTTCAATTCAAATTTGCTGTATTCAGTAAATTTACAGGAGTTTAAGGGAAAGTTTGATAAAAATTTGAATGACAATGGCTAGCTTTGATTTTTTTTTTTAAGTTTAGTTTGGTGACTGGAATGGCCTAAATGGGCCAACAGGGTTCCTTGTTGTCCTTAAATTTTGTTAAATAGAATGATTGATCTTTAATACCATTTTTTATAATAAATTGAGCTAAATATGGATGAAAATAAATTAATTTAGAGACTAAAGTAGTCTTTCAACTTCAGGCTAAATTATACACATTAAACTTATTTATATTATAATAGTTTAGATTTTCTGTGAAATCTGTTTGTGAGGTTACTCAAAATCATGAAGTACGCTTGTAATTTTTTTATATTACTTTTAATAATTGAACCAAACTATAAAGTTGAAACTGGATACAAAACTACAATGTTTGATAATACAGCATCACTATCAAATTTCACTTTAATTCCAGTACCTACTTCTCGGATACAGTCTTAATTAAGGACTTCACAGCCATAAGCCCTTTAGGTTTAACTTAAGATAAAATTCTTTATAAGTAACTATCTTTTAACCTAACTTTACAAGTTGAATTCTAATGTAATTTAAATATACACACAAATTCAAAACCTCAAGCCCACCTGTTACACGTTCTTTTTTTTAAGTTCAAATAGAATTATAGTTTATAGATATATCCAATGTCTGATTCCAAAAATTTAGTACTTGTTGATAAAGCCAGAATTATATAATATCAATTATTATGTAATACTTAATAAACATTAATAGTAATAGTGTAGTAAATCATAAGTTCTTGAAAGCTGAAGTTAAAAAACTCATGTAACGTTTGGACAGCTTATTGATATTATGACTAACTTAACAAAATGAAGGTAAAATCGTATAATAGCATCCAAAATTAATCTTACAGGGTAATACCTAATTTTAACAGGGTTATTACGTCCCGATTTTTCAGGTTTTACTGTTTTTTTTAACATTTTGTGTTACAATATTAATTATTAACAATATTATGTATTGTGCTTGTTTCTTCATTATTTTGTTGTTTAGCTGAAACTTAAGTAAGTCCGTTACATTATTTCTTCGTTTTGATTTTTGTTGTTGTTAAGTACGCTAAAAAACAATAAAATATTCGGTTTATTTCTATGTTTCGATTGTTTAATTAAGCTAAAAGGTACACGTATATACATTAAAATTTAAAAGCACTTTAGTTTAGGACGCTATTACTAGTATTATACTACTTTACCAAAATTACTCGTTAGTTGTACTTTCACTTGTAAGTTGTGGTACTACTACTAGTATTAGTTCTAATAATGCAATATATAGTAGTCATCTACCCATTAACTTTAACTTGTGTGTAATGAATTAACATTAGTTAATCTTACTTTTGTAGCGGTTTCATCACATGATGAATCATGAAGCCCAACAGGTAAGGAAGTCGATGAAATTATGAAGCAGAAGGTTTGATAAGTTAAATGGGACGAAATATGTTAACCGTAAAGTTAGCGCCAAAATTTAGAACTTCGAACTTTTAAGTCGTTAATCTCACGCAATCTTAGCGATATGTGCTTGTAACAATACTTGAAACTTTAGTTTTAGTAACTTTACATTTGTATCGTATTAAGCAATATTGTTAGCAGTACTGTTAGTCATACACAGCACCTACCAGCTGTGCAAGCAAACTTCAATATAAGCTCACTGAAAAGTATATGTAAATTGTAATACATAATAATTTAACATTACTATACAGGTTAGCCATACATGTTACCTCTTCTCCTAAATTAGGCTTGGGCAAACAAAAGTTGTTTTTCTTCTAAGCTCAGAAAATAATGACGACCCCTGGAAAAAAAGTGTTGTAATAATTAGCGGCTTAATTAAATCAGGTAAACACTATCAGTATCAAGTAAATCGGTTTGTCCTGTTATCATTTTGCGATATAATGACATCAGAGATGCTTGTCATTCTTTGTTTTTATACGTATACGGTATTTTTGTGATAATATTGCCGTTGAGAACAGACCTTGCGTTAATTACGAAAGAGAAGAGAACAAAGCGCAATCAACGATTCTGTTGTGACTCAGTGTCTCTATATAAACATTGCAACAGCTGCAGCTGAGTACCATCTAGATATTGCGACTGAGCTATTCATGTACATTGATATCTGACAGATAAGTAAGCATCCACAAAACGCGCATCCTGGAAATTTACTGCAGAGAATAATTTCAAACTTTAACAAAAGGGAAAGAAAAGACACACAAGTGAAACAAATAAAGCAAAATTTTTATTCACAGTTGTTGTATATCGTATATTTACCAGACTGGTTGGCTTCTTCTTTCCCGTGGTGCCTAGACTGACTATTGTCTCGGTGCGTAACAAGTTTATTTCTAACGAACTAAAAAAATGAAATTTTATAACTAGCCTTTAATGTACGAAATAACGTCGTTGTACACCAGGGTACAAAAAATAGGTACATTAAATACAAGTTTTACAAAATATTATAGGCCTGGCATGGCTTGGTGGTTAGGGCGCTTGACTCGCAAACTGAGGGTCGCTGGATCGAATTCCCATCCCACCTAACATGCTCGCTCTTTCAGCCGTGAGGGTATTATAATGTGACGATCAATCCCACTATTCGTTGGTAAAAAAGTAGCCCAAGACTAGCTGCCTTTCACTGCTAAATTAGGGACGGCTAGTGCAGATAGACAAACAAAATAATAAACACCAATAAAAAGATATTGTTACGACATCGGGGGTCACGGGACGCTAGTATCACGCCACAAGCTTCTCGAACGTTCACGTCCCTTCCTGAAATATCGGGAGTTTACTATATCTCGGTATTTTTTTACATATAAGACGGTCACAACGTGGCGGGAAGGAAATGAGTAATTGAACTGCAGACAGAGAGAATATTGTTGAGCACGTGAGAAGTTCGTTGTGAATTATAGCGTTTGTTATAGAGCGACTTTTGGAATTAAGTGTATCGCAAAATTGTATTCAGAAAGAATAAACCAGTTTTATTTAAGAAAGGACTTGTATCGGTAAAGTTTCTTCGGTAAGAATTTTTACGGAAAATTAACGAACGAACGGAGACGTAACAATATACTGGCCAGTATTTTGTAAATAAACAACAATATTCAAATACAAACACCCCCAGTGGCACAGTGATAAGCCGGGGTGGACACAGCTCAGATAGCCCATTGTGTAGCCTTGTGCTTAACTATAAACAAGCAAGTAAAACCAAATACAAACACCAATATCCTCCTAAAGAAACAATGTTGTTAATATCAAAATCACAAAATAATAATAGCATTTACAGTGATAATAACGAATCAAGTATAAAAGAACCATAAAAAGTTTGGTTTTGTTTTGAATAGCACGCAAAGCTACACGAGGGTTATCTGCGCTAGCCGTCCCTAATTTAGCAGTAAAAGACTAGAGGGAAGGCAGCTAGTCATCACCACCTACCGCCAACATTTACGAACGAATAGTGGGATTGGCTGTAACATTATAACCAGAAAAAGAAAAATCCAATTTGCAAGATTATTCCCAATAACAATATTAGACTTGTCATATAAATAATGTTAGATCATAAATATCAGCGAGTTCTTGCAATAATATATTTTAACAAATAAAATATTACGTATCGCAGTTTCAAAAATCTCTAACCTATCATCTCTCCCTCTTTCGCGAGTCTAACTTCAAGTATAATGTTGTTGTTGTTTTTTATCTTGTCACACTACTAACTACCATTTGTTTTATATAATTAACATGAACATCCATACATCACCAAGAGAAGAACCTCGTGTTGGTGTCTTAATAACGTACCACACAATGTTGTTAGTACAAGGGTATTAACAATTATAAAATATATCAAACACAATTCAAGTTTTACAAAAACAGTTGGTAAGGCCTGGCATGGCCAGGTGGTTAGGGTGCTCGACTCACAATCTGAGGGTCGTGGGTTCGAATCCCTGTCACACCAAATATGCTTGCCATTTCAGCCGTGAGAACGTTATAATGGGACGGTCAATCCCACTATTCATTGGTAAAAGAGTAGCCCAACAGTTAGCGGTGGGTGGTGATGACTAGCAGCCTTCCCTCTAGTCTAACACTGCTAAATTAGGGACATATAACGCAGATAGCCCTCGTGTAGCTTTGCGCGAAATTCAAAACAAACAAAACAGCTGTTATGGTGTGTTCATCTTTTACAAACGTGCGAAGAATCATTACAATTTTACTTGTTATAAATATAAGACGTTATAATATGAGGCCTATTTCATTTTTAAACACTACATTCTTAATCTCGTCCCTTAGGAAGTTTCACGAATTAGAAGAGTGTATATAACAACACTATTCCAACCACAGAGTATTTGTCACAACCATTGCCTATGACACGTTTCGCTCAATCCAGAGCTCTTCAAGCCTTCACCCACCCCCTCACCTTAACCATAGCTAGCAGTTTACGGGGTTAACATTGATTTGTAATTTGCTGTTGTTGAAGCTTGCAGGTTTTTCTGTGTGTTGGCAAGTATGGCACACAGATCCTGCACCTTTTTCTCATACAGTAATGGAGGGGTTGTATTCCACTGCATCTGGTCCTCTCTGTTGTACAAAGCCCGCACCTCACTCCAGTTAGAAGCCATTTTCTGGCAGTGCCTCTTGATCACTGGGATCTACTCTGATGTTAGGTAGTTTGTTATCATACATTCTGCCAGATATCACTACCTGATAGCTCAGAAAGCAAAGAATATTACATCTTTTAGATCATTGGTTGTTCAACCACTGGCTACCTTAGTTAGAACTGATTAATCAGTCCGACTCACATTGATTAATGAGGTCAATGTCAGAACCTCATCCACTAGCTGGAGCTTTTAGTTATTTTCAGCAACTCCTCATCTGGTTCATCATAGACTGCCAGATAAGTCTATTCAGCATCTGGTGAGTCAGTATGAGTCGAGATTTCATCCTCATTTCCCTATGACTCATTGGTTTCATCTTCAGACTCATGGTAAATCCAGGACACCATTTGGATGCAGTTTACCAGCATGCTCCATGCACTTCTTTGTAGCTCTCGTCTGCTGCAACTCATGCAATAGAGGACCAGTTTTCCAGATTACCAGGTATGGACCAATCCAGATGGATCCAAATTGCTTTTGTGCTGTTGGCATGTACCACAATAACACCCAATAATTGCACTGGAACAACTATTTTCTCATCATCAGATCAAATCTCTTCTTCTGTCAATGTGCTGGCACAGTGCTTCCTTCCCAAGTTGCTGTTGGTAAGCAAAGTTAAAGTAACCAATGCAAGAGATAACACTACAGTTGCATCTGTCACACTGTGACTGAAAACAAATACATGCTACCAACACATTGGAGATTGTTGGTTGAGAATAGTGTAAACAGTCTAGACCCAATACAGCAAAAGCAATTCAGTAACTTGTTGGTTGAATAGGTAAGTGTATTTGTGGGATTAGACTGCCAGTTGGGTCAAACATTGGCCTCACTTCAACATAGAAACAGGCAACACACACATCTGTTAAAGCAACCAACATGTTGGCTTCCAAGGAGAACTAGATGTGGTGCCAGCACTGAGGCATGTTGAAGGATATAGTCATACAAATTTTGGAGAATGCCTAGTCAACTCCAGTTGTGATTGTCAGGACAATTTATAGCCAATTTCTCCAAAATAGTAGCGTCATTATCTGCTCTTACGATGCACCTTGGATGGAGTAAAGAATATAACCAAGCATTTTGATCACTAAAGCTTGCTTTAGTGGATGCTCTAGTGCTGGCCTGTCTATAACAAGACAACAAGTTCATATTAGGCACCAATGCCACTGATAATGGAATTCGAGCAATTTATCACATTTGAAGGACAGAGTAGAACATGTAATATTGTATGATAGTCGTATGCTAATGGCTTCCAAACGTAAATACTGCACAATGAACAAAGAACCACTTGCAGCTGTGGTCTTTGTGAAACATTATCACCACTTTTTGTATGGTAGGCGGTTCATCATTCGAGTTGACTATGCTTCAATGTAGTGACTAATGAAATGACAAATCTAGAAGGAATGATAGCATGTTGAATAATAACAACATTTCAAGAATATTACTTTATCATAGTGCTTCACCTGGGCTTGCAACACAGAAATATGGACAGATTATCTTGCCACATGGTGAAACCTTGTCCATTTGTGGAATGTCCTGATCCTGGATACAGTGTGGGATATAAAACCATATCCATTTCTACCACAGCAACATCAAAACAGAAAGTAGTATATTGTGCTGGTGGGTGGATGTCATGATTAACACGTCAGTAGCTTCAAAAACAACAAATGAAGGCCTCCAGCTGTGCTGCAACTAGTAACCTCCAGGGCTCTGAGGCAAGGCTGGAGGACACCTGTGCTAACATTCGTTATTGGTTCTAGTGGCTGCATTTGAATCTAAATATTTGGCAATGGTGTGAATTCTGTGTGCTACCCAGAAAAAGAACTAGCCAACACAACATGATCTCCAATAGAAAACTGGTAGGCCTCCTCTGCAGAAGATAACCCTGGATATTGCTGGTCCACCCCTAGAGACTTAGAGAGGAATTGGTACCTACTAATTGCTCTTGACTATTCCATGACGTGGGGAAAGGCTTATATATTTACTGAAACATTGGCACAGATCATAGATAATGTGTTAATAAAGCACTGGAAGAAATCCACATGTCTGAGGGAGCCAATTTCAACAGTCAAAGGTTCACTGTGTTGTGTAGAGTGTTAGGTGTGGTGAAGACACACACTTCACCTTAGGAACCCCAAAGTGGTGGTTTGACAGAATGGATAATACAGTCTATCAAGTGGATGCTTGTGAATTCCAACCAAACTGTTTGAGATGAACATTTGCCATATGTGCTGATGGTATAAAGAACAATGGAGTAGGGATCTACAAGATGTTCACCAAACATGCTCATGTTTTGGTGAGAAATACTACTCCTTAATGTGATGTATGGTCCTCCCTATGGCAAACAATGTTCATAGAAATACATAAAGTTCACATGAGTTCATCCAAGAACAACTGGAAAAGGCTACTCAAAGACAGAAGTACTATGATAATACAGTATAAGAATGGATGTCCCAGTGTATAGATTGGGCCTGGTTGTGCTAGATGCTGGCAGCATGAAAGCAACTTGGATCTGGCTGGACTTGCCTGTACTTGATATTCTGGCAAATTGGTCTATTAATGTAGGAGTTATTATAGATTTGAGGCGTGCAAAAGTGCATTGAACATGGTCAATAAGCTGCATCTATACATCACATATGAACCTTTGGTACGCTGGTTTGACCAGGAGTCTGAGTATGAGACT